TGCGCTACGCGGGCGACAGCATATCGGAGACAAAGAAAGTAAAAATTTTAATTAATAAGGAAGGGTATCTTTACCAGATTTCTGAAAATCTGGACCATTTGATCAAGTGTTCTTGTCCTGGCCAGGGCTCTATTAATTTGTATTCTACTGAGAGAAGTTATTCCCCTTTGACATTCATATTTGATAATTAATCACTGTAAATAATGTATTTGAAAGGTTAATAGAATAAGAGAATTACGCAAAAATTTTATTGTATAATATACAATTATTGCTGGTTGTTGAGGTCAATACGATGATTTAGCCACCTGCATGAGGAGTACAATATTCACCGAGCCCGAAGGGCAAGGTGAATATTGTACTTCGAAGGTGGCTAAATCATCGTATTGACCGAAAAAAAACAGCAACAATTGTTTTATTATATGATTCAATGATTAAATGACAAATACTCATTAAGCAATCGATGCCATCTTACATGTTCACATCTACTATGTATTAGTCGAAAATAATGAGAAAAACGGGGTAAAAAAACAAGCAGTTGCATTATTTTGGAGTTTTTAATTCTAGTTTAGGTTCAATGTAGAAGAAATATATGTCAGGCACATATATAGGATTGATTTTGAAAAAGGGGGCATTAAAAGGGGGGAAAATGACAACTTACCCGAAAACAAATCTTTGACTAGCCCCCCCCCCCCCCCCCACTCCTAAAGAAAAAAGAATTCTCCCAACTCAAAATTTTATTTAGTGGGATGTAAAGGTCCATAAACGAGGGGAGGGGGATTTCATTGAAATTTTTTATCCTTAAAATTTAAATTAAAACTTTACATTCTCAAAAGGCGGGGAGAGGGGCAGGCCTCCTGCAACCCCACCCACCTCTCACTCAAGAATCTATATGCCTTAATTTTTATTTCATATGAGTGGAAGTCAGGTGCAAGTGAAATAACTTTCGAAACTATTTGCATCAATTTGGAATTTCCCTATCTATTTTTGGTCCATTGTTGAGTAAATAATTCCTTATATTGACCTGGAAGGTCACGTGCAGGTCAATATAACGTAGTATTTTTCTAACATTGTTGAATCTCAGCCAATCAGAAAGATGGGAATTATTGAATCATATAATAATACAAAAAGTACTTTCATAGTTTTAATGATCAGGTAGACTCGTAAATATAATAGATAAATAAATCTGAGACAAAGATAACTAGCTTATCTTATTAAATGTTCTTAAAAGACCAAGAGAGGCCAATGTGAGAGGAAATAATATGGGGTTAAAAATAGTACTGAAGCACTAACATTTTGTTAATAGTTTGCATGGTAATAGTGATAAATGGGGGAAAGATTAGAACTTTACGGAAGCCCATTTAGGACCTATCAAAAATATTTTTGAAATCGATATAACGAATATTCGAGTTACCGTAAGGGCCATTGGGCCTCTTGTTTAAAAAAAAATAATCAACAAATAAAGAAAACTTAATTGCAGTTGACAATATGTTTATAAAAAAAATCGCTGAATTTGTCAATTGAAATGACTTCGTTTTGCAATAAAATATTTTGCAAAGTCATCGATCAATAACCGATTTCTGTTTGTTTGTGTGTGCTACTAGCACGTCGAGTTAGCCTTGCACGTATTCATATAAATGGACACGTTTACTAACGTCTTTATTTTAAAAGGAAGCTCTTATTATGAATAGGCATTATTTCTTCAACAAAAAGAGTCAAATTGTAATTGTTTAATTTTAAGAAAATCCAAGCAAATCATTCCCCATTTCACCCCCTAAAATAAGTATAAAATTTTTATTCTAGGAAAGTGTAGACATATGACAAACCCATAGAACGCTAGGAATTTGGGAGGGGCGGGGGGGGGGGGGCTGAGTATGATACATATATGGCACATGACAACGTGAAACCATATATACATATTTCGTTATGACGTTTTCAGTCAGATATATATCAAAACAATATGATAAATGGCAGTAAGCCATTTTTACCAAAACGTACTGTTTCTTATAATTAAAACTAAACAAACTTATTCATAATATGTAAATATGTGAATAAAAAAAATAGTGTCAGTAAGAAGAGTAGGGTCCTGGGGCTCGTAACATTGGTATCTTTAAATTTTATTTTAAAAAATTCTCTTTTCTATATTTCAATTTTTTTCATTATTATTTTGGTCTCCTGTTTAAAAATATTCTTATTCTCTATCGACATACCACGCAGTCGATCTTCCAATTGCAGGATTGTGCAGGAAGTTTAGACTGATTCAAAGTTTGGCCTCATTGATCGTTGGCAACACATATCCCATGGTTTTCTGAAAACTAGAAAACTAAGCTCGATCTGACCACTAAATTGTATTGGATAATTTATTGGCCATAAATTTTATGAAGAAAATGTAAACGTCCTTCAAAATTGGTGTAAATTTTTAATGATAAGATTTTAAATTTCAAAACGACAGTTGTTCGATCTTAACAATTACAAATACGCAAGTTTGTGGTTTTGTTAATTTCTAAACATGCATTGTTAGCACGTTCTAGAAAGGCGGTGGCGGCAAATAAACCAAAATCAAACTCAATTCTTTGACCTACTAACATATTTGTAACATTTGAGCATTGTAGAAACTAAAAAATATTTTTATTTTTTCCATATCATCTCAATTCGCCCATATGGGGGAAATGCACATGTCATAATTATGCATCATTTTTCGTGGAGCCGAATTGCATGTTTTCTGTTAAAATAATGATTGTTTATTAATAAGGAAATGTAATTACAATACTGAATAAGTGATGAAATATGCAAAGCACTATATAAATTAAAAGCTGTAAAACCGTCTAAAAGGAGAAGCAGTATTTGGATCTTTAGTTTTTTTTCCGGTCCCACTGTTTCTGATCAACATAGCTATACGAAATTATTATCAAATATTTATGATTTTGTATCACATCAACTCTTATTATCAAGGAAATAAACAAGAAATATATGTGTCTAGAAATAAGATTTATATCAATTAGAAGTACACCAAATTCAACAAATTTAATTCATTTTGCTAGAATTCCAGTTAATAAATCATATAGCGTCGTCCTTTGAGAATTTATAAATCTGCCAGCTTCGAGAAAATTATGAAGACATGTCATATGATCATCAGCTGATTATCTTGCCACCGTGATATTGAAGTGTTGAATAAGCGTTTAAATAAGCCTAATTATTAATGTATATTTAGTGTCATTTTTATTTGATTTCGTGTTTTGTGTTGTTTTGTTTTGTGTTTTTTTTGTTTTGTTTTGTTTTTTGTTTTTTTTTTGTTGTTTTGTGGTTGTTGTTTTTTCAATAACTTTCAAAATGAACTGTTTGTTTTATATTTATCAAAAAAAAATATTTACATAAAAAAGATGACATATTCACATTTGTTTATCTTAACCTTTATCATTAATGTGAACATAAAATTCATCAATTTTCAATCATGTGTATTGCGGTTTTATCAACTAGACAAGGGCACCTGTCAAAAAATATTAGATTTAACACATCTAATAATTAAAATCGTGTTCCTCTCACTAATATATATCCTCCATGAAATTAAAACTTTACGAAATATAATTTGTAATGATTAGCATATTTATTTGTGATCTTGTATATGGCCTATCAAGGGGTCAATTTTACTTAGTCAACTTGCGGACGAAACATTTCGATTATGTCAGGCTTAAACTAGCATTTACATAATTATCAGGAGCCAGAAGCACAACAGATATGGAATTATCTGCTTTTTTAATATACGATGAATTAATATTTATAATATTTGCAATATTCATCATTTTTTTTTAAACCTAAACCCTACGTGTTTGAATTTGCTGATTATATGAAAACTTTACCTTCTTCATTCAACTTACAAAAAAATATGCATATCAAAGTGCATAAAAAATGCATTTCAGACTCATGCTTTCAAAATTTCAGGAAGTGACCATTTTTGTTTTATTAGATATCAATGGATACTTTTTCAGACTAATGATTTATGACAATACTGAAAATCAGAATAAGAAATTTGGAGAGTTAACAGCAATATTTGCAGAGTCAGCCTAATATAGGCTTATTTGAGACAAAGTTATTGATACATTTTGAGGTTATTTCTGAAAATGAAACTGAGTAATTTTTACTAAGTGTCTTTATGACCGGTTAACACCCATTGTTTAATATGTTGCCATTTCGTAACCAATAAGGAAGAAGCGTCAAATCGCGCTGATTGCTGATTACTTGTATACAATTGAAACTTTTCATTTGTGTCAAATCAAATTAATACACGCGCCAGCTGGGACGGAAAAAATTGTGATAAAGTCATTGCAGGACTTAGAAACGTTTTTTATCTAGGATACCTCAAATTTAATTTCAAAACCAAGTTTCTATTTTTGTCCAAAATTAAACATGAAAGCATTTTTAGTCATTGTAGTATGCCTACATATTTCTGATATCATGATTATATATATATATATATATATATATATATATATATATGACATATGGCTTTAGGAGACCAAGGAGGATATATTTTCTGGCTTAGGGAGACCACTGGATTAAGGCGACCTTTTTCGGTCTCCCTATTATTTTGACCTCATCAGTATTGCAAATGTCTTTTTATAGATAAATAAACAGTCTGCCATTAAATATTATTAATCTTTAACTCTGTTATTCAACATTCAAAAGTTGTCTAATTTCTATCATCTTCCCTAAAAAAGAAAAGAATTTCTAACCTACGTATAATTTCAAAGGATAATTTTTCTGCATTTTGGAGACCATGAAAAACATGCAATTAAACAAAAAATCTAGCATATATATTTTTTCCGCTTTTGATTTGTTCAAATGAGTGTTTCTTTAACTTAGTTTTCCATGTTTTATGTTAAAAACCTAAAAAGGAAAAATATTGTAAATTTATGAACCATGTTTTGAATTCTTAGCAAGTGCTTTCCGTCATTTGTTCCGAATGCCATCGGAATGCCCCTTCAGTTTTCAGAAAATGACCTCTGAACACCATGGATGTTGAGAAATTTGGGTAAGTAACTAAAATGATACAGTAATAAGTTGTAATTAAGAATACACAAGACAAACATTCGTTTTTCTTTGTTTGTTTGTTTTTTTGCCTAGTAATTTAGCTTTCAAGAGAAAAAGTATGATTTTAAATAATCGTTAGACTATAGTTCGGTATATAAAATCCTGAAGGAAATTCGAAATAAAGTTAAATGATAGGCCCCTATTTTTTTAAATTCTTTTATGCAAGTCCACAAACAAATTAAATATTTAAAGATTAGGCTGAACGTAGGAAAAAAAATAGTCTCGCAAGTTGACGCAGCTATTTCGAGCTTAAAAATTTAAATTAAAACTTTCTGTAAACATCATGCAGGACATGATCATCATGATATAGTATAAATGAAACAGACCCTGTAAGAAAAAAATAGCTGTAATTTAATAATTGTTTATTAATATAATGTGATCCTCTGCTAATAGAATATATATGCTGTAAAAAAAATCTGAATCAGGGTGAAGCAGATTTGATACAATACATGGCTGAAGGAACGGGGGGGGGGGGGGGCAGGCCCCCTGTAATTTTGCTGAAATTTAGGTATACTATAGAAAACATTGCTCCTTTATGCTTGGGCCCCCTCAATAATAACCTCTGATGATCTATTTTTCTTTTGCTTCTGGGCCCCCTCAATAATAACCTCTGATAATGTATTTTTCTTTTGCTTATTAAAAAATTTTTGGTTTGTAGCCTCCCACAACCTGAAACTGAAAAATGTTGTTTGGTTGTGCTCACCCCCCCCCCCCCCAACTAAATTACGTACGGGTCTATTCTCCATCCCTGAGGTTTTCTTTCACCAAAGAAAGATTAATTGGTAACAGTTCAGATATATATAGCAATATTTACGGAAGGGAATATTCTCGTTTAATTATGAAGATGTGACAGTAACTCAGTCAAAGCCACAGTGAGTGTAACATTTATTTAACATTATTGTTTATGTTTACAAATAGTGAAATACTGATACTATGAAATTTTAATGGATATATAGAAAACATACAAGTACAACCATTTATTGTAAATCACATACATGAAAAGCTTCTTTTTTTTTCAAGCAATTGGAAATTCTTCATTTTTTCATGAAATTATTTTATTTCGTATGTATGATAATTTATTTCGTATTTTAATTCAGTCAACAAATCATTGTCGCAGCCTAGTTCCCTTCATTATTTTCAGCAGTTCAGTGACAGAGATAAAATGATCATTTGAGGTTTATGCCCCCCCCCCCCCCAAATGAAACTGAAAAATGTTTGGTTTTGGTCCCCTTCAACTGAAATTGATTCCTACTTCTTAACTATGAAGATGTGACAGGGAGTGTAATAACAATAATTGTTCAGACGGATACATAAGCTGATACATGTATACGTATCAAATTTTAATGGATAGATAGAAATTAATAAACAATTACAACCATTTATTATAAACTACATAAAGATAATTTTTCAAGCAATTTGAAATTCTTCATTTTTTATGATAATATTTTATTTCGTATATATATGTTTATAGGTTTATTCGTATCAACAAATCTGTGTACGAGTTAATAACGCAGCCTGGTTCCCTGCATTTTCAGTGACAGAGAACCAGAATAAGATTGCAGGGAAACAAGCCTTCAGAGCTTCACTGCCTTGTTACAAGGTTTGAGGTTTGTTTATTTTATATTTTAATTTACACTTTTTAAGAATTATTATGTAATAAAGGGGACTTTACATGATCACCCGGCGCTGTCGCTTTAGTTCAGTCTTCACAACAATTCTTTTTCAGCACATGCCCTTCGGGCATGTAGACCTATCATTTTTTCCCAGCCCATTCAAATTTGTACATGTCCTACTCAAAATTCTTACATTTACCAGTATTGTGCAACAAAAAAAAACCCATTAGGTATAAAGGTTTTATATTAATTTTTTCAGCGTCATAAACCAACCATGGCCTGTGATTGCCATTTTCTAAAGCGTTTTTGTTCATAAATAACTTTTGAGTTGCATGCTGGTCATTTGTTGGCCGATTTAGCTGAACTGAATTTCAGAAATGGGATCATGACTGTAGTGCCACAGTATGTGGCATTGATGAACATCTCGTAATTTAGCAAGCAACTTCAAGAAAACAAATAGGTTAAACTAAGCACTTCTATGATTAGATTGACAATCATTTGACAGGTCGTATCGAGAATGTAGACTGGCAATCCATCGACATTACATATAGCAACGTTTAAGTGAATAATGGGGGTAGGACAGAATAAATGGCAAGTAAAGATCGTACAATGAAAGAAGATTAACATATGCCCTCTTCGGACATGTAATTTGGCAATTTTTACATGCCTGGCTGCAAATTTAACAGGTCCCTGGCATTGGACTCCCGGGTTATTTGGAAGACTGTTAGTTTAGTTTCATGAGGTCCGACAACATTGATTCTCAATGTCTGCTCCCTCTACCCCATACACTTATCTTGATAAAATTATATAAATTATATTATTAATTATATAAATTGATATAAATTATATAAACCGGTCTTGTTTATATACAGCTAAACTTCGAAATCTCAAACACGGATATCTCGAATACCCCGGATATGTCGAAGTAAGGCCGCAGTCCTGACGAAATTTGCTTTATAAATGATTAAAATAAACCCCTCTATGTCGAACAGGGTAATGTCGAATACCCCGGTTATCTCGAAGTAAAATTGTGTACCCATTCATTAAAATCACATGCGTTATCTCGAAGTCAGGATAATTTTCCGCTCTGATGATCAAGTCCGTTATGTAAACTGAATGCTCTGTTGATAACAACCACCTGTCTGTCACGCTCGGGTTACCTGTGTTCCTGTGATCAACAGATAATAGCGCGATAATTATACGAAGTGTATATATGGCTTACCTTGATTTTAATTATGCAAGCCAAAGGTTGTGTGTATTAGTCTAATGCATACGCGTGGATGACACGTTAATTGTTTTGTGGCTTGGGTATGTTTATCTTGATAATCGCTATTTAATGCTGTGAAATATGCGCGCATACATAGTTTATGCATACGAAAGTGAAAATTATAAACATCGAAGTAAAACAAAATTCTGTAATTTAATGCAATTAGAATTTATTTTTCCTATATGAGCGTGGAGAATTTACAATCGTCCGTACACACCATCATGTGAGCGTGTGTAGCAGTGAAAAGTTGTATGTATACATGGGAAGCGATGCTAGCGGTTGACTTGCCGCGTTGGTAGTTCTAAGGATTATACTTCTGTGCATATTATATAAAATTTTTATTTTGTGAATTATAAAGAGGATGTAAAAATCTTTTTATTGCTAAATACATGTACATGTGTATAGAAGAAATTGTATACAGAATGTTTTAACTATTAAGTGCATGTTCGCTGCACTAAGTTTATTTGAAGGTCATTTGAATTATAACCCTCGATATGTCGAACCCCTGGATATCTCGAAGTTCATCAACGGTCCCGTCAACTTCGAGATAACGAAGTTTAACTGTAATTTTACAATGTCATAAACAGCTGCTTAAGTGCATATAATATTGTAAATGGATTTATATATAGGATTAGGGATAGATCCTCACTTGATTATGGCAGCATATTTAGCTCGTAGGAGTTTATTATCTACCACACATAATCTTTTGGACGTGAATGACTTTTGACACCCTAACTTCAGTTCAAATCAACGTTAACTTTATGTGACGTCTCTCTGAATCTTTTTTGGCATGTAACTTGGGTAAAAACAATTAAGTACTCTTGATGCATTTGATTTCTCTTAGCCCGTTTAAACATTTCCAAGGTTTATACCAGTTTTTGCAGGGGCGAAACTATGTAGAGTTGGAAAAGAAACCCATCCCCTTTTGGACGTATTTGGTTTTCGAGGGGTGAAAATTTTTGTATAAAACATTCAGTATAATATAATAAATATTGCATGTAGTTGAGTGTAACACTCAACTACATGCAATATTTATTATATTATACTGAATGTTTTATACAAATACAAATAATAGTGAACCTTGAGCGCATAAATCTGCGCAGTCACTAATTTTTGGAATATCACCCGTCGTCAAGCAATGTTGACTGTTGCAACACTGGGCGTAGCTTCATTATTCAGCGGATAATAGTGCTTTTTAACAAATGTTTCTTGACGAATCAGATTAATTCATCTAATATACCTGAAAGTACAATATTAATTAATTGTCATCATTTTCCTATATTAGCATTTTTACTGGTAATGGTTTTGAAATGATAGGAGCATGCACTGTTCAAAAAGTCTTAAAATGTTGTTTTGGCTCAATTTCCTTGTTAGATTACTGTGTTGAACTAAGGTAGGTCAATTAAAGTAACATGATCCTATAGATTCCATGTACATTTAGTACTGTAAAGTAGACAAATTTATTGTTCTCACAAGTAGTTCTCAAACATTGATTTAAGTTGGTCTCCTGAAGGATGTAATAATGCAATTGGTCTGCTTAAGATACAGTGTATAATATAGACATGCAATTATTTTATTTTGAATTTGTATTATGTCAATCATTAGAAATATATGGATCTTAATTAAAAAACATTGTTTTCATTAGAATTTAAGATATGTATAATAGGCATATATTCTTCATGCTTTTCCATAGTTAAGTCCTTTTTTACAGGGTCTCTGCTAGAATCATGTGGACCCCAGTGTAACAAATCTATGGAAAGAGAGAAAATCTCAGCTCAAGGGTCAACATGTCTTTATTCCAAGAAAGGTAAATTGATAATTTTTTCTGCTAAAATACTCTTTTATAAATTATAATATCAATGCAAAAGAATGAACAAACAATGTACCTAACAACATTTTGAAAATGAAAGTGCAATAACAGTTAATAATTATGATGAATGAATGTTAATAATCCAATCAAAGTCCTTGTTGTATATCATTTTTGCTAGGGCTGTGTATTGAGCAAAAAAAAAAAAGAAAAGAAAGACATTTTTTAATGCGATATGCAATATATTGAATTCTTTAACAATTCTGTCAAAAAAGTCTTATAAATCATTATGCATGAATTTTATAAAAATAATAATTGTTTTTTACTCATTTTTAATTTTTTGTCTCACCATCTTTAAAAATTACACTTCAAATTCAAACTTTTCTTGACTGTAAAATCAACATGTTAAGTAAAGTTGTTTATGTATTTTTATGATTTTGTAATAATCATCTAAGATGTGCTACCTCCTTAATGATTATATCATTTTTGATCAGTTTTAATTCAAAACAGTTAATTTTCACAGAATTACATAAAAAAAACTGCCTGCCCAAAATGTATTGGAATTAAGTTATTTTTAGCTCACCTGAGCCAAAGGCTCAAGTGAGCTTTTCTGATCAAAATTTGTCCGTTGTCTGTCGTCGTTGTCGTCTTTGTTGTTGTAAACTTTTCACATTTTCATCTTCTCAAGAACCACTGGGCCAATTTCAACCAAACTTGCCACAAAGCATCCTTGGGTAAAGGGGATTCAAGTTTGTTCAAATGAAGGGCCACACCCTCTTTCAAGGGGAGATAATTAAGAATTAGTTAAAATTTAGTGGTGTCTTTTAAAAATCTTTTCCAGAACCACTGGGCTGTAAAAGTTGAAACTTAGGTGAGACCTTCATTACATAGTGTAGATTCAAGTTTGTTCAAATCATGACCCCCAGGGGTAGGATGGGGCCACAAGGGGGGATCAAAGTTTTACTTAGAAATATGTAGGAAAAATCTTGAAATTGTTTTTCTTAAAAAACAACAAAGCCACAATTAGTCATAATTTATATGGAATCATCCTCAGGTAGTGTAGATTCAAGTTTGTACAAAATCATGACCCCCGGGCGGGGGGGGGGGGCACAATGGGGGATCAAAATTTTACATAGGAATGTATAGAAAAAAAATCTTTAAAAATCTTTCTCTCAAGAACAACAAAGCCACAATTAGTCATATTGATATGGAATCATTCTCAGGTAGTGTAGATTAAATTTTGTACAAATCATGACCCCCAGGGGTAGGGTGGGGCCACAATGGGGGATCAAAATTTTACATAGAAATATGTAGAAAAAAATCTTGAAAAATCTTCTTCTCAAGAATAACAAATTCACAATTAGTCATATTGATGTGGATTCATCCTCAGGTAGCGAAGATTCAAGTTTGTATCAAATCAAGACCCCTCGGGGTAGGGTGGGGCCACAAGGGGAGATCAAAGTTTTACATAGGAATATACAGAAAAAAAACTTGAAAAATCTTCTTCTCAAGATCAGCAAAGCCTTGTTAAGTCATATTGATATGGAAGCATTCTCAGATAGTGTAGATTCAACTTTGTTCAAATCATGACCCCCAGGGTTAGGGTGGTGCCACAATTGAGGATCAAAGTTTTACGTAGGAATACATTGGAAAAAACTTCAAAAATCTTCTTCTCAAGAACAGCAAAGCCATGTTTTGTCATACTGATATGGAAGCATCCTCAGGTAGTGTGGATTCAAAATTTTTCAAATCATGACCCCTGGGGGTAGAGTGGGGCCACAATGGGGGATCACAGTTTTACATAAGAATATATAGGGGGAAAAAACTTGAAAAATCTTCTTCTCAGGAACAGCAAAGCCATGTTTTGTCATATTGATATGGAAGCTTCCTCATGTAGTGTAGATTCAAGTTTGTTCAAATCATGACCCCTGGGCGTAGGGTGGGGCCACAATGGGGGATCATAGTTTTACATAGGAATATATAGGGAAAAAAACTTGAAAAATCTTCTTCTCAGGAATAGCAAAGCCATGTTTTGTCATATTGATATGGAAGCATCTTCAGGTAGTGTAGATTCAAGTTTGTTCAAGTCATAAACCCCCGGGGTAGGGTGGGGCCACAATGTGGGATCAAATTTTTACATAGAAATATATAGGAAAAAATCTTTTCATCAACAGAAAAGCCATGTTTAGTCATATTGATATGGAAGCATCCTCAGGTAGTGTAGATTCAAGTTTGTTCAAATGATGGGGGGGGGGGGGGGGGGGCTATGGAGGGTCCACAATGGGGGATCAAATTTTTAACAAGGGAATATATAGGAAAAAATCTTTAAAAAATCTTCTGCTCAAGAACAGTAAAGCCATTTGTTATACTGATATGGAAGCATCCTCAGGTAGTTCAAAATCCAAGTCCCCTCCCCTTTAAACTTTTCAATACTGAAGTGATTTGTGCTTTTTCCTAGCCAATGTGCTCAGGTGAGCGATGTGGCCCATGGGTCTCTTGTTTTTGATACGATATATTCATTAATCTAGATATATATCGATATATTTGATGCAGCCCTAATTATTGCTGGTTCATAAAATAACTAAAAAATAAACAAATGCCAAATGTTGGCATGGTTGGCATTGCAACTGTATCTTACACATTCAAATCAGGCCATTCTTACGAGTTTTGGAACATGTTGGGTTCTTCACTAGTGCCGCTACTACAGAGAAGACAGCTTGTTTTCAAACTGTGTCATTCAAAGTTTCAATATATGAGAAACACAACAAATCTGAATGCTTAGCCATTACACTAAATGATGAATCTACTTTATTGTGTTATTTATTGACATTTGACAATCATGATTTATAAATCATTTTGAAATTTTATATGTATCATATCATAAGGTCTGTGTATTATCCCAACCCTATATACACATGTACCTACATATCACAATGTATCATTTCAGCATTTATTTGTTAGTTTCTATGTTCAAGATTGCTTTTGAGAATTTTTTTTACTCATATTGAGATGCCACTGTCCCACCTGCCTGCTAACGTGGAAACAAAACTCCCCTCTGTAACAAGAGTGCACCAATGGAGATAATCACAAAACTCGTGTACTAGGATCATTTCCAAACAATGCACCATTTTTCAGCATTTATATTCATTGCTTAAGGGTTTATTCTTACTAATGAAATAAGTTGTGGTGATGCATATATTTACTGTAAGACATTTGTAATAATGAAGCATTTGTGAGATATACCTTTTATCAGTTATTTACAAACAAGGCATTTGAAGAGGACAAGCACAGTGCATTTTTTTTTTATCTGAAGTTAAGGTGATTTTAAGCAAAAGAACATTTCTCGTCCATATTTAGAAAGCAAAATATTTTGACCTAGTTTGAAGTTTTTTAAACCCATTAAACTTAATTGTTAAAAAATTAAGTATGTAAACTAAATTTTGATTAAAGAGTTGGTCCTCTGTGTAAAACTTGCTCTGTGAGCAAGTTGAAATTACAATGCCTTTCATGATTCCTTCGCAAAAAATGGGGTGATGACCCACAATATTAATAAATGTAGGTTTTAAATAATATTTTATATTTCATAAATTAAACAGTGAAATTTACAAAAAAAAAAAAAAATTATTCATTTTTAAACTGTTGTTACATTTAGGCATGTGGGTATATGTACATATCCTGATAAAGTCTTTGTGTATCACATTATATCATGATATACTTCAGACAAATTAGTACACCCGTAGTTTTGAATACAATTCATACATTGATTTCATTTGCCACAATGGTCTCTTTAATATTACAATAATGCATTTGGTCTTCCTAATGCATGTATAATGCAGGTACTGTATATACTCTATGTCCAACTTATAGGTGAGTCATAAAAAGATTAGTATTTTGAAACCAGGTTAAAACATCAGAGCATTGATTTGAAATTGTCAATTGATTCTGGCAAAAAGTTGTATCGATTTATAAGCGGGTCAATAGCAAATCCCTCCAAAATAACCTCAAAAAATACAACTGACTTATAGGTGGACCACCTTATAGGTAAGTATATATACGGTATAGTTTTTGTTGAATTTTGCTAACAGCAAAACACTATATATGAATAATGAATTTTGGAAAAAAAAGATTATTAAGTTTAATGATGCATGTATGTAGTATAGAAATATTGTTCATATGCCTGTACATGGTACAAATATGCATTTTACAGAGTGTACATATGCCAGAATCATATGGACCGCAGACTGGCCCTGGTGATTCTGTTAAGAAAAAAAGAGGAAAAATCAGTGCTTGTGCTCATTGGTCATTGGTCAAAGGTAAATAGATTTATTTCATGAAACTAAACTTGTAAATTACTAGGATATTAAAATATCACAATTAAAATACATGTACTGATTTATATATATATGGATATCAGTTGGTCTCCTTGATGGAGTTAAATGCATTTGTTATCCCTTTTAAGTGGATCATTTAAATATTATGCAGTTTATTTAGAAGCTCTTTATTATCTGCACTGTTCACTTTCACAGGGTGTATGCCAGAATTTTTTCAAGAACAGTCTGAATCTGACATGGAAAAAATGAAGAAAAACAGCCTTCGTGTTTATAAATCTACATTCTGCAAAGGGTAATTTTGTTTAGTTCAATTAGAAGTGCACATTTAATTTCAGTTGCTTTCCTTAATGATATATTATAGCATTTTTATTCCCTTATGAACAATATGTATACTTGTAAAGCATGTATCACAAAATCTTCTGCAAACAAAGTTTTGGGTGTATAGTGTTTGTTGTTTAACGTCCCTCTTGAGAATTTTTCACTCATATGGAGACGCCACCACTTGTCGGTGGAGAGCTGCAAATTTTTGTCCTATACTCAGCACTTATGGCCATTGAGCATTGAGAGATCTTTATCGAGCCAGCACCTACTGTGACATGGGACCTCAGTTAATACCTCTGTCTCATCTGAAGAACGGGTCTCCACGTCCCACAGTGGGATTCAAACTCGCGATGTAAGGATCAGCTTCTTTCTCCGCGACTCTAGAGTAGACGCTCTAACCACTGCATCTGCTCTACTCTGGCAACTTTGGGTGTATATAAGCATAGGAATCATCATGTCCATCTGTCTGTTCATGTGTTTGGCCACTTTTATGATTAGCTTTTTTGTTCCAATTCTGGCTGAGATAAATTGATTTAAGTCATCTAAATACAAACAAATTAAGGGAAATTACTATGGTATTGGAATGAACATTTTGGAATACTGTCTAATTGTTCCATTGTAGTTGGTTTCTTTAATGTTGAAATAATGCATCTGGTCCTCCTAATGCATGGCTTACACTGTATGCATGTGTAATGTTAAAGTTGGCTGAATGTAAAACAGTTCTTGCGTTATGACAAAGATAAATAGATTTAGTTCATGTAACTAAACATGTAAATTATTAGAGTATTAAAATCTCGAGTTTTGAATACTGATTTACATGTGGAGAGTAGTTGGTCTCCTTAATGCAGTAATAAAACATTTGGTCTCCCTTATGCATACTGTATATTATATAAATTTAATGACTGACATGTACGAGGGTTGATCCAAAAGTTCATGGAATTTCTTCATATTTTATTTATTTATTAGTGAAAGTGGTTGAATACTGATTTACATGTGGATAGTAGTTGGTCTCCTTAATGCAGTAATAATACATTTGGTCTCCCTTATGCATACTGTATATTATATAAATTTAATGACTGACATGTACGAGGGTTGATCCAAAAGGTAGTGGAATTTCTTCTAGTGTTGTACCGATAATCAGAAAACATCGATTGTCGACCAAAATATGCTACCGATTCCGATGATCAATTATAGTTTTTTATAATCAATCATCGGAAACATACTTCTAATACAATACATTCCGGAATTATCTATTTCTGGTTTAAAATTTATTTCTTCTTAATGAAAGAAAATGGCATCTGCATCTGATACTAGCCAACTAGCACGAAGCAGAGGTGATTAAGAACCGAAGATGCATATATAGGGCCTAAACAAATTATTTTTGTTTCCTGTAATAACCCGACCGACCCATTCAATTTACCCCTGGGTGAATTTTTTTTTCTGCCAAATCTGTGTTTGCTCTTTGGTTTGATCAATCAGCTGATTCTTTTTATTCAAAAAATATTAATTGTATCTTTTATTTGAGATATAAAATATGCAACTTAGTCAACATTTACCTTAAATATAAAGAGTGATCAATTCCCCCCACAACTTTTTGAAGTTCGTTTTCTGCCGCTAGGCAGCCATGTTGGGTGTCCACTGTAAATATTTTTAGGTCTAGAAAGTGTAAGAGAAGCAAAACAACAAAGAAAATAATATATTATGTATTTTATATATTCATGTTAAAGAAATAAATGAAATTATTGTAATAGTCTGCTTTTTGTATACAAAACTATGAAGAAATCCGATTATAATCGGTGAAATCGCATCAGAAGCAGTAACCGATTCCAACCGATGATCGATTATGAAAATTAACCGTTGTCTCATCACTAATTTCTTCTTATTTTTTTAAATTTATTAGAAAAAGCGGTTGAATACTGATTTACATGTGGAGAGTAGTTGGTCTCCTTAATGCAGTAATAATACATTTGGTCTCCCTTATGCATACTGTATATTATATAAAATTAATGACTGACATGTACGAGGGTTGATCCAAATGCTCATGGAATTTCTTCATATTTTATTTTTCTATTAGTGAAAGTGGTTGAATACTGATTTACATATGGATAGTGGTTGGTCTCCTTAATGCAGTAATAATACATTTGGTCTCCCTTATGCATACTGTATATTATATAAATTTAATGACTGACATGTATGAGGATTGATCCAAAAGTTCATGGAATTTCTTCTTATTTTATTTATTTATTAGTGAAAGTGGTTGAAAATTACAAATAAGAATATAGACACTTGTTGAATTTTTTTAATAAAAAAATATTTTAAATATTAATGATAGTAACTCTATGGCAGTTGCCATAGCAAAGGATGTTTTATAATGCGGGGGAGACATTTACTCTTTCATTATCATTTTAATTCTTAATACATGAAATAAGAAAAAACCTGCGCTAAGTGGCAAATAAAATGAGAATTTTGTCATTATTAAGATTGCTTGACCACTAATATACCTGTCTGTGAGAGTTTTACTGATTTAACTTGATATTTAGATTATTTAGTTGATGATTTCTTGTTCGTCTTTTAATTGTTAGAGAATGTCACATTTCAGTCAAGTTATAAGTTTTGTTAAAATCTTAGGAACACTCTGACTTAAAGGGGTATACTACTGATACAGGCTGGAGAAAAATGCATTTAGCAACTGATTTTCCAGTGGCATGAGAAATTTAAGAACAATAGAACTTCCATGGAGGTTGATTAAAGGTGTGGCTGCTTTTGGAGGGTCTGTTTTTCTCGTAGACAAATTAAGCGTTGATGGATGTTGACCGCTGACGTACTGTGCTGGACTTTGCTACTGAAATTGGAACATCATATGGAAAGATGGGGAGTATTTTTGAAATATGAGTGTAATATAAAGATAAGTCGATTGGTGTGAGAGGATACCCAGGCTTTTCTTGAGAGAAAATAGGAGAAAAAGGCAGAATATTCTGTAGAATTACTTAGTTGAATTGAACATGAGGGTGAGATGTTCCTATAACATGACATGACATACTTAACTTGACGTTACGTCGAAGTCTTCCCCGGATTTTACAACTATCAGTGTTCAGAAAGCTCATGTGACCTTATTGGTAATTGGAATGTGGTGAAATTTTCCAGTATTGTTGCATAATGACTCTATATTATAAATATGCCTATTGTTTGCTTTCATCAAATCTCAGTAAAATTTTAGAAATAATTAAATTCCATGAACTTTTGGATCAACCCTCGTATTAGAAAAAAGATGGATCTAAGATTGAACAGGTTATAATTCACCTGAGTCATTTAAATTACTTATTGCTATCTGTTTTTGTTCAGTCATCATGTGTCAAGTACTGTAGATTCCTTAATATACGCAAGGAATAAATTATCGCGTAATTACGCGAGAAGCACAACTTGTGAAATAAAATTACTCGCTTTTATTTTTATGGTGCTTTAATGTATGTAAAATCTCTAGATAAATCACCCATTCGCGAATTATTTTTCTCACAATTTGACGCACGTTAGCCATTTCGCGATATAAAGTACTCGCGTAAAATAAGGAATCTACAGTATTGTCTGTAAACTATTGAACATTTTCAGCTTCTTTTCTGGAACCAGTTTCAACTAATTTCTCGGTTGAAGTACTGTATAGGGGATTAATTTCAGGGGTTGTAATTTTCATGTTTTTCTCTAATTTTCATGTTTTTCTTTCCTCTGACACGATCGCGGTTTGTTGAATTCGCGGAATCAGTATATAATAAAGGTTACATGTACCTCCCTTCAATGTCTATATCCGTTTAATCCATAGCATAGCTAGAAGGCATTAATCAGCGTTATGTATTCACTTCACGAACAACAGGGTAGATTTATATATACATCAGCAAGTTCGATGGTTATTTGAATGATTTTTTAAAACCAAAATGTCGATAAAAACATGATAATGCAGGTAACAAATACACGTCGTAACATAGTTACGTACGGGTATTCAAAACCCATGACCCTAGTGTTTTGATTGATGAAACATGTAGCGTTGGCTATTAAAACAGTTTTTTTTTTTTTTTTTTTTTTTTTTTTTTTTACAAATACAGGTTATTATCTGCTGAGTGATCTAAATTAATGTCAAGCGTGATAATTAAAATAATTGAATGACAAGTACGATCCGTAATTACTGAAATGACCATGCACTGCACGTATATTTACCTATCTTAGTCTATTCTCAAATTTCCAAATATAACATGTAGGTTATTGAAAACTTATTCACTGTTTCTTGAATTCACGGATTTATTCACACCGTGAATATAGCGAATATTAACACCGCGAGTTATTTCCCCCCTATACAGTATACAGACATAATATAGATATGATTTTATCGACTTTCTCAATCTATCATGAATTTAAAAATGTAAATATAAGCATTTAATTGTAAATATTAAACAATTAGCATCTCATAACCAGAGTTGGAAATTACTGACTGCCCGAGGCAGTCTGTTTTTCAGGTAGGCAGGGACAAACTTTGGATTAACCTCGGTGGTGGGGGTCATTTAAACAGGTAGTTCCTGTTTTCCTTTTTTTTTCAGGGTATAGTAAGTCTATAGAAATTAAGTAAAATATA